TTTATTACTACACACACACACACACATATATATATATATATATACAAACATATATATATGTATATGTATACACATATATCAGTATACACACACACGCATAAAAGGCAGGTACATATGTACATAAATACGTACACACACAAGCTCATTTATATATATATATACATATATATATATATTATATATTATATTATATATATATATATATATAATATATACTATACACTATGCATATATATATATAGATTTTTATGTGCGTGTACAAGTATATGTATGTGTATATGTAAATATTCGGGTTTTTGTGTGTGAATATTGTCTTATATTTGTGTACTTCTAAACATATTGGTTATATGATTAAGGCATTTGCATTGTACTACTAGCATTTGATCTGTGTACGTGCGGTGGTTCGTGAGACCTGGCTGGCTAGATTTTCTACGCAGGTTCCTGCAGTGGCACATTCTTGCAGTATCTTAAGCCCGAGCGATTTATAGTCAAAATCAGTGGGTGTCGCAACCAGCTATTTGGTAATTAAGGTTTATGTGTGTGATTGTGTATATCTTATCTTCTGGCGTTGTACAGTGTACTGGTCTGTCATCCTGCGTGAGTGTATTTTCTAGTCCTTACAAAGTTCGAGACTCGAGACAACGCACGCAATCTGCAAACACCAACGGTGTACCCTCATCTGTACACATCCTTTGAAGCATTGGTTTTGTGTAGTTAAACCTGCCTTCGTCTGACTACTATGCGCCAAATACACAGCCCTTCAGGGAGCCCTCAAGTTCAACGGTGGTGGTCACATCAACCACGACATTTTCTGGACCAATTTGGCCCCAACTAACCAGGGCGGCGGCGACTTCCCTTCCGGCAAGCTGTACGATGACCTTATCGCCAAGTGGGGTTCAGTAGAGGCCTTCCAGAAGGACATGGCTGCCAAAACCGCTGCTGTTCAGGTAGACATATATGTGGCGCATGATGGTGTATGATTACTGTCGACGAGTGTAGTATGGTTTGTAGCCTCATCGGTGCATTGTGCTACTTGGGAGTGGACACGCCTAGGCTAGTAGACACGCCTAGGCTGAGCTTAGAGCCAGCGTGCTTGTGTCTGACATGCTCGCTGTGGAGTACCGAAATGTCGGTGAGAACCGGTGTTTTTGTGTACTTTGATATTGATCGCGAACTGTGAATACGAGACCAATACGAGTTATAGACGCGCTGCATTGTGTGGCACCCTGGTATGTGTTGTATGACACCCCGGTATGTGCAGAGTCCTCAGGGAAGAGCTGGACGAAACGTCGTCGCCATGCTGCATCCGCTACGAGAGAATTTGAATTGTTAAAATGTATATCATTGTCATTGTACTGATAACACCGCCATAAAGCACCGTGCTGTAATTTATATGTTTCTTTAGGTAAAATCTTGAGCTGACAGAAGTGGTTGTCATAAACTTATTGAGCAGGAATAGTTTGCTTATACTACCGTTAACCTGCACCCATTTTTCTGTAGGGATCCGGATGGGGATGGTTGGGCTACGACAAGGTGAACAAGTCCCTCAAGATTCAGACATGTGCCAATCAAGACCCTCTGGAGGCCACTACCGGGCTCATTCCTCTGCTTGGTATTGATGTGTGGGAGCACGCATACTACTTGCAGTACAAGAATGTGCGCCCCGACTACCTGAACGAGATCTGGAAGATCGTCAACTGGCAGAATGTTGCTGAGCGATACAACAAGGCTCAGTAAATTAGGCTGCTGAGTCTGCCTTGCCCTTAATACTGGCATGCTGTGACAAGATTTATTAACTCTTGACCGACAATAAGGGCCTTTCTAAAAGGAAATGGTAGCTGATAAACAATTATGTTATTTGAACAGTCGATGTAATTGCACATACAGAACGAAACTCAAATACCCGAGTGCTCGTGAGAAAAATGAATAGCTCTCTAAGTCATCTGAATTTGGGTTGAGAAACAGTCGCATGCAGACAGAAATACGTGGCAGCGTGACATGCTTATGAAATATATTCAGAGGTTGAAACCGTTGTTAAGAATATTTTTTTAGTTCTGCAAGACACATTAATTAGGCGTACAATTGTGTCGTTTTTCAACAAGTGATAGCACAATTACTGTGTGGGATGCACCCCACTTTCCTCAGCAATCAGAAACCGAACAAGAATAGCTATAAATATATGCCATCTTTATTATATGATGTATAGATATATAGATATATATACATACATACATACATACATACATATATACGTATATGCATACATACATATATACAAATACACATACGCACATACATACATACATGCATACATAAATATATATATATACAAGCATACATGCATACATGCATACAAACATACATATATATATATATATATACACATATACACACACACACACACACACACATATATATATATATAATATTGAATTCCACGTTCGGCGCGTTCAAAGGCTAGCAACACGCATGATACATAAGGAAGTTACATACTTATAAACGCCGTGCAGTAGGGTTTAGGACGGCTAGGCCCTCTGTATTGAGTCTATGACTGCATGATACATAGGGAAGTTACATGCTTATAAATGCTGTGCAGTAGGGTTTAGGACGGATAGGCCCTCTGTATTGAGTCTCTGTGGAAAGTTTGCATCTTCTCTTGGACTAGCAAGAGTTCCAGTCTTCCAGACTCCTTCGAGGGTCTCTCTGTCTCTCATGCAACAAGGATCAAGATGTAGCCTAATAAATAGCATAGCTTTCTTCTAAAAACAGAGGGATAGTAAAAAGTCAAAGTTCGATGTCCGCGCCTGAATACAAAAAAATAAATACACTCCGAGTGACCGAGTGAAAGCAGATGGCCGTGGGGCGTGGGGCGAGTAGGCGGGCGTGCTGACTGGGCTCGTTGAGCCTATGTAGCGCCCGTGCCCCTGGGCCGTGGCCGTGGGTCCATGACTCCATGTCCCATGAGTCAATGTATGTATGTACATAAATAATAGTAGAGTGTGTTAGTACTATGTACTGAGTTCTGACAGGTGACAGCTTGTGAATATATCAACTTATCAGCCGAGTCCACAATCCACCCCTGAGGTCTGAGGAGTGAGGACTGATATGACTCAGGAGAGCCCACTGCGCCCAGGGCCCCAGCCACCCCCAAGGCCTGTGGGCTGTGGTGGGAGTTGAGACCGTGGAGTGTGGAGTCATGACTCATAACTGCACTGCTGAAGGCCTGAACCCGGAAGTGGTGACCACCAGAGTGAGTCAGTGAGACGACTCTCTGGGGAGTCTGCCAGTCTGGGCCTCTGACCCTCTGCCTGTCTGCCCTCTGGAAGTCTGGGACTCTTGGCCCTCTCGCGGGTGAGTGGACTTGTTGTGGTGATTGGTGAGTGGCTGTGGAGTGTGGAGTGTGGAGTGCGGAGGCCTGGAGTTCCACTGGAGACCACTGATCTGGATTCTGGACGGCTGGAGGGCTAAAAATAGATATTTATTTGTAAAAAACATTTCCAAATCTGGTATCAGTTTGTATGGAAAAATTATGAATAAATAGTGGGGGCAACTAGGTCATCAAGGTCATTATGAAATCATACGGTACGCACGAGAAGGTTATACACTATGTCCAAAGTGTTGCTAAGCGTATGGGAGAAAGGGAACGTCAAGATCACAGAGAACGACCTAATTCTCAAAGTGTACTACTTCCCCATTGGCACAGCGCGACGAATCAAACTATCAGACATTAAGGAGGTGACTGAATTGCAGACCTCACCCTGCGATGGTGCGTCTAAGGTATGGTGAAATGGAGTATATCCCCATGCTCTGATTTATCCGAGTTTATAATATTCTGTACATTGCATGAATTGGAATCGTTGTGATTGCAAGATTAAATCTAACAGCATACGTATATACTATAAGCGCAAAGATCACTGGACGATGGCGTGTCTAAGGTATGACTGCGCACCCTCACGCTGTGGTGTATCGAGTTGGAGTCGTTCTGCACAAAATGTATAGTAATTACTGTCAATACAGACTTAGTAGCATACGTATACCGTTGTAATTCTGGTATGAAAGAAATAGCAAATACAACACAACACTAACCGTTCTCATCATTCTCGTACACCTCTCACCAGACATGGGGCATGACGCTGTCGCCCGTCTGGTGGCACTGGCCAGGCCACTTTGTGCGGAGTGGACCTGCACTGGTCATTCGTACCACAGCGGAGTCACCCTCGTTCTTCTCACCGGCTGCCGGTATAAGCGTTGAGGCTGGGGATATAGATTATGTAAAGGGACTGCTAACCAAGCATATGCAATGAATGGTACGCCTGATACGAGGTGATACCACAAAGGACATGGAGTATGTGAAGGGTTGGTGACGACTACATGCAGTGATTGCAACGTACTACGTAAATGCAATCAATCGCAATTTGACACGCGGTGAGATAAGCGGCCAAGTAGAGATATAGACTATATACGAGGGTTGCTAACCAAGCGCATGCAGGCAGTGTTAGGCACGTAGGAGATGAGTGACGAGACAGAGGAATTAGAGTGTGTAAGGGGACTGCTAACTTATAGTGCAAGTTAGGTAAGATACTATATAAGCACACGGAGTGGATGTTATGGTAGACACTATACGAGATTGAGTGTAACATGCACGTCGTTTGTTTGATTTCGGGGTTGCGCTCATGTAGCTAAACCTTAACTCTGGTGTCCGGGCCGTAGCACGTACTGGGTGGCAAGTGCGGATGCGCAGTGGGTGTACCATTCGATGCGTGTTGTATGTTGCCCAGAAAGGTTAGATACGAGTGACCCATGGTTTGACATACGTATCCTATCACATGTGGTTCATAGGATACGTACGTTGGTATATCCTTGTACACATACACACCTGAGTACTCAAGCGTAGTTCAAGTTCATACGATATGATAAATTGTGCACAGCGGCGAGGGACGATGAAGTCCATATTTCTCATGCTCGGTCATCTGGACCCGTGTTGGCCCAGTTTCCGCGATTCGAATGCATCACCCACCGCAGATAATAGAGACTGTGTATCAAAAACGTGTATATGAATCCGGTGCTGACTCCCCCTTTAGACTGATTCAGCATCCAGCGTTTGTTATAGAATCTAACATGGTACATGAATAAAACTTGTATGTTGGATCATATATATCATTATGATAATCTCATACTCCTGGCCATATAGATAGGAGAATGTGCGGTGGATATGAAGCAGAGATCATGGTAGGGAGTATAGGGTTACCTCCAGTGCCAACAAAGCAGCTAAAAACCGCCCGTTGTACGTATTTGCCAATCACGAGTTTGATGGGCAACGGAATAAAAAGAAAAGTGTCTATGGTATGTTAAGTCAGATCAGGGGAATTGAGTTTAGCTCAGAATGCTTTGATTGACTAACCATGTCCCACAGTGCCACTACGCGTAGCTTGTACGCCTGCAGTAGCACGCTACATACCATGTGGACTACCGACGCGATGGGATATAAAACTACCCGACTCACGCTACTAGTCAATATCCAAGCGTCCCCATTGGTTAATAAGTCAATATTCAAGCGCTCACATTGGCTAATAAGAATGTATTACGGCCATCCTGAAATAAATACGATAAATCCCTACCATGTCACACCCTATGTTTAAACTATACGACTATCATATGCATCACACGCAGGTGCTGGTCCATGTACGTACAACAGGGTTACAGAATTTATTATGAAACTTTGGGATCATCTACAGATGACCCTGTCCTGGTACAACACTTAGGCCTTGTTGTCCCATGCCGCTCGCTCGGCGTGCTCATTCTCCAGGCGCTTTAGACCCTCAGAGAGGTAACGCTTGTCCTGGTTAGATACGATTAGGTATACGCAGCTTATTAGTACTCTTATTATAAATAGGGTAATGGGTTGTAAAACGTACAAGTTGTATGATAATCATACCCAGACTGCTTCAGACCTGCAAGAGAGGCAATGCGTGTCCGGGTAGATAGGAATAGCGTGAAAAGCACGTGATAGTGTTCTAGTGTCACTGGCACAAATGAATCAGTTCTACGAGTAGCCTGATGTACGAGTATGATTCGCAAGTGCTTGTGTAGCGGGACACGAAAGTCCCTCAGAGAGGCAACGCTTTCCTGGTAGGTAAGAATCGTACACAAGAGACTTAATAGTACTCCACTGCTGCTGGGGTAATGGGTCGGATATACAGGTCACTTGCAGTATAACACACAAGATACACATAGAATGCAACTAGGTATTGAGGTGCATATACATAGCCAGAATATTCTCATGAACTCTACAAAGATGCGCGGAAAACTCGAATACTCTAAAGAGACTGATAGCTTCGTACATTAGGTAGTTGACAGGCTAATGATTGTTTACTTCTGTGTTACATGGATGGTATTTGCACACACACACACACAAAACACGATGTTTTTACATTCCTGTGTTACTCGGATAGTATTCACATACACACACAACCTAGAAACGGAATGTTTGTACATTTCTGTGCTACATGGATAGTATCTACACACACACACAACCTCAGTAACAGAAACCACACACACACGAACTCGATCGGACAACGGAACAATACAAAACACTCACCGATTCGTCGGTGGTCCATAGCTCCTTGGGGAGGATGGCATGCTTGGCGGACAAATCCAGCGCAACCTATTGCCATTGGTAACCAAGAAATAGTAGGGTGTGAGCATGATCATGATATGCAACCTATAACCATTGACAGACAAGATAATGTAGTGTGTGAATATAAACATACTATGAGTTGGTAGCTATATTTCACGTCTGGTCTCGGTGATGATCAGATGTGTGTAAAGGCGACGTTGTTTGCAGGTATGCTCATGTGACAGTTATATTCCTTTACAGACATTGTTACCCATATTTTTCAGATAAATAATACAAATATATTGTAAATTTAGTCATGACCTCAACGCCAGTGCAGAGTGCGGCATACGACAGCGGTTAAAATGCGAGCGGAAGTCTAACCCGAATGACTCGCATATCACGTAGATAAGTACAGACAGCCATTACAGCACGCACTAACTATGTGGTCGATTATCAAGGTGCACGTGATATGGACGTATTGCAATATATAATATATATATATATACATACACACCTACATGAAACCTACACGCACAAATTCAACACAAATTGGGATTCTACAGCAATGGCGAGCATGTATATAAAAGGTATACACAGTTAGATATTAGTACACAAGCACACACCTTCATTCTGAACTTTCGGTCGTACTGCTCCTCGGACGAAAGGCGAGCGATGGCAGCCTTATTGTGGTTCGCCTCCTCCATACAAATATCCTCATATCTCAAACCTAATACGTAGACAATATATAAACATATAAATAAAAAAATACAGAAAGAAATATATACATATGCGATTAGTGCCACCAAGAGACTGTTGACAACATAAGTGGACCAGCCTAGCACATTCATGTTTATGTATGTTAAATCCTACACTCGGGGGGGGGGGGGGGGTGGCACATAAGAGCACTATTCAGGTGTGTGTGTATGTTCAAACTTACAGCTGGTGGGGCATATATTGAAGTAAATCACAAAAGTACAACTGAGCTACTGAAAGTCCCAAGCATGTCGTTGGTACAATAAGATCGAGCACGTGCAAGATCAAGTTGGAAACTACAGCACTGGGACATCGCAACGGTCATAGGCCTTACACACATGACACAAACACAATGTAGTAACCATAATACCGGTCTCATCGTATCATACTTGGGGGTCAACTGTGAGGTTATAGATCAGATAAACATCCTAATGTTTTGGATAGTCATCGAAGGTGACAAACACACTCTCGCACAAACAAATATTAATACATATACAAGTATATATATTGGTTACAGTCATCGAAGGTGAAAAATACATACTCGCAGATAAATATATAAGTATACATTGTTATTCAACAAGCGTGTTTCTGTAAAACAAAGAACTGTCTAGAATAGGTATATACTAACATTAATGAAGCAAACGTGATATGGCATTATCTACGAAAGTACAGATAGCTGGGAATATCTAAACAGAAAATTAATCCATAGCACGGCTAGCCCAATGAACTGATCTTCAGATTCAGATATAATGTTTAGGAACACGTATTAAATCAAGCACATACTAAGCATATTCGTATATATAAATTAAGATAAGTTTATATTCACAAAAAACATCTCCATATGACATGTATACATGATATACAGAAACACAATCGTATACACATGAGGATAATATATACAAGTAAACATATATACATACATCTATATATATACACACACACACATATATATATACTTAAATACATGCAAGCACGTATGTATGAATATACATACATATACTTATATATATATATTATTTTTATTTATACATATCGATATATATGACAATATATATATAGATAAATGCATATAAATATAACATATATGCACACATCCATACATGCATACATATATCTATAAGTATATCCATTAAAACAGCTATAAACGAGAATATAGAAGAAATTCAACCGTCAATCTCTCCAAAAGAACCCTATAGTTATAGTTCAGTAGACATTGATATGACTACGCCAAAAACACGCAACCACTAAGGAAGATCCAATTACGATTGATTATTGCACATTCACGTGGTACATTGTATTCTGTAGTTGCCTATACGTACATTGTCATTCACATACCGTATTTTCTATATCCGGACTTGTTCACTGCCCAACGGCGTACAGCTTGTAGCAAACTCATGACTGTCTAAGTATGAATTAATAAGCTCTCGTATCAACCACGTATATGCTACTACTAGTGTTCGATGTAGTTGCACATGAGATGTATATAGTTAAAAACAGTAATAAAATATATCACAAATATGTACAGCCAGTCCTCATTCATATTTACAATCAGACAGACAGAACGGGAGTCTATTTTTAGAACTAGAACCGAGAGACTCTGAGAGTCGCAAGTGGACAGTATCTTTCTGAATTTGGGACATTTTATTTTAAAGAAAATTTAAAAAAAATAATGCTGGACCCGAATCAAAAGAAGGACAAATAAAGAGACATTCTATTTTTGAAATATCGTTGTTCTCTTGGGTTTAGGGTTGCCTATATATAATTATTTTGTGTTTTTGTTAAGGCTATGTATTTTGTATATGTATGTAGCACGTTGACATATGGTACGTTCAGATTGCTCATAGTATTTACCACTAGGGGTTTTGCATGACTCTTGCGACCGTCGCAGAGTCCTTTGCAACTGATAGAACTGATGCTGGTGACAATATCGTAGCGCACAGACCAGTTTAGTAGTGCATTAAACCGGCCCAGGGCACACCTCATTAGACAGTACAAACAAACCATGTGACTGTTTCACACCAAGGGATACTTAGTCGAGTTTATTCGCTACCTACGGGAACATGGACTGGGGCAGTGTGTATTGCTATTGTACTGTGGAAAGAGTATTAAAGAACAGTCTGTAATTATCAGGTTAATAGTGTATAAAAATGAACTTCCGAGTAGGAAGGAGTGGTGGCAATCAAAGCTAAATATAAAAATTAATAGTGAGTAGGTATACACTTCCTAGTTGGAAGGTTTTATGACAATCAAAGCTAGATGTCAAGCTAACAGTGAATAAATATACACTCCCTAGTAGGAAGGGGTGATGACAATCAAAGCTAAATGTAAAAGTTAACAGTGAATATAGACGGAGTGGTGACTATCAAAGCTAAATGTAAAAGTTAACAGTGAATAAGTATACACATCCTAGTAGGAATGAGTGGTGACTATCAAAGCTATATGTAATAGTTAACAGTGAATAAGTATAAACTTCCTAGTAGAAAGGAGTGGTGACTATCAAAGCTAAATGTAATAGTTAACAGTGAATAAGTATACACTTCCTAGTAGAAAGGAGTGGTGACTATCAAAGCTAAATGTCAAATAAACAGTGAGTAAATATACACTTCCTAGTAGTAATGAGTGGTGACTATTGAAGCCAAGTCAATCCGGTGAGATTATATCACTCAGATGTGTAAAACATTACACAGAATGTGCCACTCTGAACCTTGACAATCGAACCGTCTCCTTAGGCCGACTGACTACACACACAGCAATCCACTATGGGAAACTTTGAAGCCTATGGTAATCAATAACTACTTTAAAAGTGTATGGAAATCAACAACGTTATACATATGCTCACTCTACAGTTTAGAACGGATTAACATATGTATGTCACGTATGTTTGCAGTACAGTATCCGCGAAGGTGCACTAGACTGCTTAGTTGGGCCACATTATTGCTTTATTGCTTTGTTTTTGCGGCTTCAAATAGTTAGCCTGGCGTGTTGTGATATTTTTGATAACAATTCTGTTGAACATCTGCAATGATAAACTGTCAAAGTCAATATTTCTTGACATTTAAAATAGTCATTTGAGTACAGTGTCTGCTTTGTTTCATCGAGAAGTCTTCGGTATAGTGACACCAATCCAAACAACTAGTTAACAATTAGTTTTAATAATTAGTTCATTATTGGGTCACAGGGCCTGTCGGGCTCCCTCCATAGTCTGGTTGATCACATCCTGCATCATCTCTTGCGCAAACTTCAGCGCGTAGTCGCGTTCTAATTGTTCAGCCTCTTCTTTCTTCGTGCCCAATACCAGACGCTTCACTCCAGTCGCGAGTGTATTGGTACTCTTCACACTGCCGAATATATAGACGAATGGGGTTATGACGTGGTATATGAGGACATGTGTATGTATTTTAAAGTTTACCAAGTTTACTAATTGATTTGCATGTGTGTATTTACATACATACATACATACATGCATATA